GTTAAATAATGCACATTATAATTTCGACCGACTATCGCGAATTTTAAACCTATATATGGCATATAAAATTTTAAAAGAGGTTTTAGTTAAAAAAAATGGTGCATCTTTATAAGCCATCAAATACGGTATCTACTCTAAAAAAATGTAACCTTATAGTCAACAACATCTCACCTGCAAGAACCAAATTACAGAGAACCAATTTATGATTTTTTGAAAACATATTTCCTTTAAGAAACTGCATTCCCGATTAAACTACATTTATGAATAATTATATTGGACATACCACTACATGCCTATCACGAAGACTCATGTTACATATCTTTGACCATAACGCAATTAGGACTCATTTAAACACACATTGAAACCTAATAAAATCCATTCGCAACATACTTGTAAAAAAAATTACAAGTATACTAATCTCATCCACATGTCAAAAAAGGAACTAAAAATAATGGAAGCACTAATAATAAAAAAAGAATAAACTAACACTCAGAAACATCAACTATGAACACGGTCACAATGTGCTGACCGTGTTTGTAAAATAAAAAAAATTACCATCACTCTAGAATTATAGTTAAAAATCTATACATTCAGATAAAAATAAAAACATCCTTGATAATGGCTAATAGAATATCCTAAAACGCTTGGTTATGCAGAACATTCGGGAAGTTTTTACACATTTTATGTCAAGAAAAGAAATCACTAATACGAACGCAAGAAAACTGAATAAAAAGATTAATAGCAGTAGCTTGTTAGTCGTCTTTAATGAAACATATATATATATATAAGAGGGATTGCTGCCCAAACATACAAACACAGGCACACACGTACACGTATATATATATATATATATATATATTTAAAACTATATATATTTTATATATAAAGTCTAGCCCTTTTCAGCCAACATCTCATCGGTCTGTATAGATTTAGAAAACCTTCTCTCTGACGATCAGAAAAGAATTTATAAGGTCTCTGAATCTGATGGGGATATTTTATTTTAACTGTCCTCGCTATTTATTTACACGATAACCCTTCCCTCGTTACAAAATATATATTGTTCATTATTTTAGATGTTTGAGCTTTTTTTTTTTGCTAATCAATATCGCTATTATTCATTTCCTTCTAATCCAATTTGTCTCCTATGATATGTTGGCTGAAAGGGCTTTAGACTTTAATATTAAAATCAATGGTTTCCTAGTTTTTAAAACTATTTATAAATTTTGTACACAAACATTTGTTTATATATATATATATATATATATATATATATATATATATATATATTGATTGGATAGATGTGAGTTTGTATAAAGCGATCGTCAGAGTGTTACGATCGGCATGAAACTGTCACATCTATCCAACCAAATATGTTAGCTCTATCTCTGATATTGAGCGTTAATAAGTATATATATATATAAATAATTATACATATATATATTTATTTATATTTATATACTCTATCATACACACACACACACACATATATATATATATATATATATATATATATATATATATATATATATATATATATATATATATATATATATATATATATATATATATATATATATTTATCCGAAAAGTTTCATGTGATAGGTTTTAAACAGACTATATTTGATATTTATATTTACACACGCCTCTATCTCTGATATTGATTTATCCTATAAATATAGGAAATTTCATATATATATATATATATATATATATATATATATATATATATATATATATAGGTTATCCGAAAAAGTAATAGGTTTTAGATATTTAGGGTTTATATTTTTAGGAAATCACGGAAACTCGGTAAAGGAGAATCGGGACATATTTCCGCCCTCCCCTTTAAGGAAAGATTCCTCCGAGACCATAGACAAACTGCGACCTCAACCTTCTTCCGAAACACCGACCAATTCATTTCACAGAGATCATGACCGATCCGTCTGTCCAGAGGAAAGGTCCTGGAAGAGAAAATAATTTCCAGATACCCAACAGAAAACCAACAAGCTTATCGCTGTTGGTCTTGGTCCCCGTTAACGTCTTGTACCCACTGATCTCTTTGCCGACTTCATCAATCTCGGCTCGGCTCTTCTCGACACAAGGATTTAATCCCTCGATCTACTGTTTCCTTGCTTGCCGTTTGCGCTGCTAATCTAACTCGATTGTGTCGACGACTATGATCAGCAGTTTACGACCTAATGTTGGATTTTAATTTTTATCATTACATATTCCAAACCACAGCCTCCTTCAATTCCGCTGTCGCTGACACGATGGTCCGGGCTCGCTCACCAAACAATGATGATTCAATTTCCAAAGCCATCTTATGAAAGGTTTATCTAAGAACACGAATCCGGGCGAGCATCGATTCGTCTAAACGAAGGAAAAACTTGGACACATGGCTCTACATCGGCTCACTTACCTAGGTAACTAGAACGTACTACCAAAACCGAGCTGCCCTTATTAGTCCAAGTCCAAACTACTTTCCACGGGTACTCATTTCGATACTAATCGAGAAGATCAAACTTGTCGATAAAATCCCGAAATTGTTTCACATCCGGGTTGTTACTACCCGATCTTTCCGGTATACGTTCGATATCGTGGTCAAGAACGGCATTCGAATCACCCGCTCAAACTACCTGACGAGTTATCGTCAAAAACAACCCAAAATAAATCAGGCCACTCAGCATGGTCATTGGGCACATAAATCCCAATAGGACGAAGAGCTTTATCCTTTATAGTAACATCCAGCACGTAAAGCCTGCCTGTCGGATCTGCGAAGACAATGAATGCCCGGGGTCGGAGGGTCGGTGTCTCGCAGGGCGAGGCTCGGTCACGATTTTCAGTTACCCAAGGTGAACGTATGTTGCCTAAAGGAGACACGGTTTTCAACTCGCGACCCCGAATACATTTTGTCTTGAAGGTTTGTCCTCTATTCAGCATGATTTGATAGAGGCTCGAGAGATATTTACTGTTAGCGATTCAAAAAGGAAATTCTAATTTGGCGGGGGGGCACTTTTTTTTTACATTTTTCCAAACATAAAATGTTGATTTTTCACTTCAATAAATGCCTCAGTACAGACAAAACCAGTTTAGCTTAATTAAATTCCACCAAAAAAATAACCTATGAACGAAGAAATTATTTTCAAATAATAATGCAGATTATTAACTAATCTTCTTTATGCGCCGTATGATTTCAAGACGTAAGTGTTCATGGCTCTCCACAATTTCCTTTCCTTCGTAGCTCCTAATAAATTTTGCCTTTTTTTCATTTTTCCAAAACCCTGTTTCGCCAGCCATTTATTCAAGTATGTTATGCATTGCTTTCCTCCCCCCTCTTGGATTTAATCTGTCCTGTGAGTATCAGATTTTCCAAGCACTCATTCCTCATTATGTGCCCTAGAAATGTCAACTGTCTCTTCCTGATGTTAGTTAAAGTTTGCTTTTTGTTTTTATGTTCTCTAAAACTTCATCGTTACACTCATGTTCGGTCCATGGTATCCGCAGCATCCTTCTGTAGAACCAAGTCTCTTCTTCATTTCTGAGGAAATTGTTCAGGATTCACTGCTATACCGGACGACTGATATCACAAAACTGTTCAGTACTCTTTTATTTCTTTTTCTAACGATTTTTTTCTGTTTCTTAATACTCTGCTTAACTTTTGAGAATGCATCTTCGATCAATGTCACACATTCCGTCCTCTGTTAAAACCCTTCCCAGATATTTTTGTACCTATTTGATTTTGCTATCTCCGGTTTGCAGCTTACTAAGCCTGGATTTGAACAAATCAATAAATAGCAATTAGTTTAGTTATGTGACTAATCCAGTTGATTGTCTAGTTGAATTACAATTCATTTCACAGGGTTCTTTTGACAGAACTAGGAAGATTAATATTCTGATGTCCTCCGGTATTTCACCGCTATCTTAATGCGCCTTCGGATTTCAGTGTCGCACTTTCCGTCTTCTGTTAAAACACTCCCACGATATATTTTTTTTTTTTTACTTGTTTAATTTTTCTCCAATTTGTAAATCAGACTTTGGGCTCATCCTTTTGGAAACGATCGTGCATTCTGTCTTTCTGGAGGTCATGTTTAATCCTTTTTTACCCGCTTTCCTTGATTATCTTCTGTCGGAAATTTTGTACTTTCCTTTCCATGTCTACTATCAGCATTATGTCACTTGCATATCTTATGTTTGTAAGATTGTGGCTACCAATAATGAATGCTGGTAGGATTTCTAATTCTCTTAGAATCGCTTGAGTGTATAGACTGAATCAGTCCGGTGAGAAGACACGTCTTTGTCTTACACCACTCACTATTTCTGTATATCTGCTAAACTCATATTCATTTAAAATACATAAGGTATACATTATTTACAGGATTAATGGTGGACGTTTTTGGCTTGAGTCCGAAATCATTCAAATGTATTTCGTATAAATAAATGAATAGAAAAAAACGAACGAAAGTTCGCAGATTGTGAGTTTGATAAAAGGAGAACCAAGCGAGAAACCATTTTACTTTTCCAGCGGATTGCGATTATATTACAGTAGCGGGAAACAGAAGAAATACTGATGGAGTTAAATATAAAATGCAGACACGCCTAGGCAGAAAATTAACGTGGGAGGTGAGGTTGGAAATTGGGTTTTTACTGGGAAAAGGAAGACTTATAAAGCATCTGATGTGAAAAGGGGAGGTGTTTAGAAAGAAAGAAAGAAAGAAAAGAAAAGAAAAGAAAAGAAGAAGCACATATCATGGTGAAGAGTAACTAAGTTTACTAAACTTAGAAGAAAATGAAGAAACTAAATAAATATGTCAATGAGAAAAGAAAAAAAACAGGGAGAGAATAGAAGGCAAAAATATAAAAAAAAAGAAGAAATAAAAACAGCATTATATTGAAAAGGAAAGAAAGCAATAGAAATATGAAGGAAAGAAGAAGAAGAAGAAGTGTATAAGTTTGAAGAAAGTGAAAAGAAAGAAAGAGAAAAAGAAGAGGTGGCGAGTAGAAAACTTATTAGTCATGAATGTAATGTAATTGTATTAATAAGGGAAGACGAAGAAAGCGTGAAAGTAAGATAATCATGTAAAGAGAGAGAAAGTCAAAAGTAAGAAATTAGTAAAGAAGAAGAAGAAGAAGAAGTGTATATAAGTTTGAAGAAAATGAAAGGGTAGAGAAAAAGAAGGGATGGCGATTAGAAAATGTAACAGAGTGTCTCTAAAGTCTTGAAATCTCATTAAATATATTTTTTTACCTCCACAGATTAAACATTGTTTTGTTGAAATATGAAAGAACTGACTTCTTTTTCTGGGGCATACTAAAGCAGGTGTTATTGCTTTAGAAATTTCTTTATTTTCGTTTTGGATACGAAACTCAGCAGATATGGTGTTTTGGAAAAAATAAAGGGTGTTTCATTAAGATGGATTATATATAAAGGGTGTTTCATTAAGACGGATCAAATCACTGATGCAACAAACACACTTGATTGAACGCAAAAAAAAGTGAATGTGCTAAACTTGACGGAAATGTGGAGTTATTTCATGTGAATCTTGAACAAATAATGGAAATCATATTGAAGATGTTATTAGTTAATATTCCAATTCAATAAAATGTTGTCCAAATTTCCATTTCTTGAAAATATGCATTTTTGCCTATGTGTCCAGTCTTTAAGGGCACCCTGTATTAGACATGGAGGCAAAATTGTAATTGTATTAATGAGAGAATTAAAAGAAAGTATGAAAGAACGATAATCCTGTAAAGTGAGAGACAAACAAAAGAGGGGGGAAAAAGAAGGCAAACAACAAAGAAGAAGAAAAGCAACAACCTCAACAAAAATGCTTATCATAAAAGAATATGTATGAAGAATTTGACAAGAAATCAAACTGTAATAATGGCCGGCTTTTTATTTTCATCTGATGGGAAATAATCTTTTAACTACTGTTGCTGATTTCAGAAAAAATCGTCTGTAATTTGGCCTTCATCACTCTGTACTCAATCTGCCCTCAACTCCTTTTTGATTCACCACGCCATCTTATTCGTGAATGAGACTCGTTCGTCTCAGGCTACGCGGCGTAACGGGTCTTGGCTGTGAACTCGCCTTCTATTAAATTAGCGATAGATTGACGAATGGTTTGCTACGTTTCGTCTGTGGGGAAAGGGGTTGTAGGGTGGAAAACAATAAATTACCCACAATGTCTAGTAGACGTTTCTGGACTCTATCAAGATTGGAGAGTGAAGATCGCGCAGCTCCAACCCAGAGATATCAGAATTATTCCATTTTCGGCCTGATCTGGTTTTTGTAATGGTGAGGCATATAAGGAGAAGCCAGATACTTAATGGGGCGATACAGGGAACTGACCATTTTGCCAGCATCTTTAGTGACCGTATATACGAGTTCCAGGTCTGGAATGAGCTTAAGTTCCAACGCGGATTCAAGGAAAAGGACCTTTTTGCAGTAACATTCTTTCAGTGCGATAGGCGGACACTCAGGGTTTACTCGATGATGATAGAACGTTATTAGTTTGAAAAGGTGGTTCTTTCCCCATTAAGCTGTTAGAGTTAGATTATAAGAGAGACCTGCAGCCAGGTCAGGTCAATTAAAATATTGCTGTCGGCACCCACTCGCATTCGATCATCGGGATTGTCATCGGTGATGGAGATGGTTGTAAATAAAAGAGAGTTTGACAAGACCATTGGTGGAAATTTGGTTTTGGAGGGAAAAATCTCCGCGACGGAGAAACCCGCAACCCTGGCCGGAAGCTCTTCGCTCGCAGCTCAATAGGGATTGAGACAAGCGAGACCTGACAAACCTGGTTGCATCGGGACGTCGGGTCTTTGGTCTGTCAAGGTACGCTTTGTTTACGACTGCTTTCTTCCGCCGGTTTGACCATTGAGATCGTGTAGATTTTTGCTTATACCGCTGTTGATGCTCTTCGGGGCGTTGGTTTCATTCAGTCTGGTCCTTTCTCTTTGACCTTACCCCCATGGGTGGCCCTACAGGAGTCGGAACTCTAGACGGCTTCACTCTTCGGATCGCTGGGACCAGTAAGCCCTCTACCATAACAAGAAACGGCCATATATATTTTACACCGAATGTCAGAGTGAACAGTTCGTTAGCAAATGTATCACTTTGAATTATTATTATTTTAATGACAATAGTAGAAATGAATTAATAATTAATAAAAGAATGAAAACTAATAAAAGCATAAAAATTCATTAAATACTAGCAGTAGAGTATCGATCATCAAAAAGACTGAAAAATAAAATTGACAAAGATTATTGTCTAAGGTTGACGGACACGCATGACTTAATTATTTTTTTTATTTTTTTTTTTGGTTTTTTTTTTGTTTTTTTTGGTTTTTGGGGTTTTTTACGAATTGGTCAAACCCAAACTCAAACAAAAGCATTGTTTTCAATCGTTATGAGTCTACCGATTGAATAGAATTTTATTATAAACAATTGTCTTGTAAATGGAATTTTAAAAGTATTCTGAATGTAAAAATAAAGAAAAAGTGTGCAAGACAATAAGAAACACTACCTACCAAAAAAAGTGAAGTTTTCTTGAAATCGGTTGAAAAATGTAGGAAATCCGATCCCATATATAAACGAATACAGACACACACTCACAAACAACCTGGGTTTTATAATAAGTATGATATAAGAACACTTTTTATTGTTGTTGTTACTAAGAATAAATATACCGTTGTATTATCCACATAGATATTAAAAAAAGATCTGAGCATGCTCTTGGGAAGATCATTCTGTGGTCCAAACTATCAAAAGAATTTCGATAATTATTTATTTTCTTATCGGTATTTCTGAAATATTAGTTCTAACTAGTAAAAATTTCACGATTTTCTTATTTTAAATTTCTGAAATTTTTTATGTTAATGATCAAATAAGCTCATGGTGAGTTCTCCGACAATAAAATATCCGTAGAAGTTCCCCTATCGCATCGTTAAATATTTGAGCTTAAGAAATTCAAGAAAATAACAATCATAAAGGCCTCTCTGATATTTTGAACAGGAATAGAGGTTTATCCTCAGTTTAAGATTAAATTCCCAGTTCTTTCTGAAGGCTTTTCCTTCTCTTCCATTTCCAGTAGCAAGTTGTGTATTAGGGGCATTATCCACTTGCTTGGGGTGAATTGATTAAAAATAAATAAATATATATGAATGATGGTCGTTATCTTAAGAAATAAGGGATACAAATGAAAAGATCTGAAATTGACAACTTTTTTCCATTTGACTGAAGCAGACGTTAAACAGTTCTATGTTTCTTTCTTTCTTTACTTTTCTCACTTAAACCAAATAGCACCTTTGATATGTATTTTCACGTTCTTTTCGATCAAAACGGAATAGTACATTATTTATTAGGTATTAGCTGCAGATGTTAAATACTTCTTTTTTTCTTTCTTTCTTTCATTGAAACCACGCAGCGTCTCTTATATGTCTTTTCTTTCTTTCGATTTTATTTATTAGGTATTATCAAAACGGAATTTTACATTATTAAACCACGACGTATTCCTTTCTCTTTGTTTCGATCAAAACGGGTACATGACGGTCGTGAGAACTAAGAAACCAACGAAGCGAAAGAGAAGCACAATTATTATATGATTATTCGGTGAGATGATGTCAACAGAATTAGAGTAATTGTCTTAACAACTTGTTTTTTGCATATCCGGGTTGGTGACACATTCAGAAGGAAAACTGTTAAAAGTAAACGACAACATAGTCGAGAAAAGACGGATCATTAATTGTCAGAAAGTGGATCGGTGGTCAACAAAATGGGCAAAATACTACAAAAATAGGACAATATTTTACACACCGGCAACGTAAGAATTAAACAGGTGAGAAAGTTTGGAATTAAACAGTAGTAGACGACAGTAAACAGGTGTACAGCGAGATATAGAAATACCAAAGTATTCTTTTCAGTTACTAAACAAATTACTAATGTTAATGGTAATGGTATTATTAGCTGTTTCCTTATAAGGAAACATTTAACGTTCATTGACAGAGCAGAAAGTGCTACTGTCGGTTGAAATTAATAAAAGCCCTTAAAATATTTTTTCAGGAAAATAGCTTTCTCAAGTCTAGTAGCTGTTATAGCACTTTGCAGTATTGATGGGGGCTTCCTTCCTAATCTTTTATTTGAAGTAGCGCAAAATTATAAATATTGATTATTATTTTCTCTTCGAGTTACATATGCTATACATTTTAGTTGTTGCTGCTTCTGGTGGTCCTCAAGTGATATAGTTTTTGTTATTTGTTACCGATTTTGTTTGCGATTATGTAGCTCCAGTCCACAAGGTTCTAAGAAGGATGGTTTCCATCAAGATCCATAGACTTCACTCGCTCAAAGCCATTTGTAACAATTGCTCTGAGAAAGCAGTTGTATGCAACTGACAGTTTAGATATTTCTGAATGGGTTTGAAATGACCATACGAATATCTCAATCTAATGAGATAATTTTTTTATATTAATGTTCACCTAATTTTCAAGGTAGAGGCTAAGTGTGGTGTTAAATGAGCATAGAAAGGGCAAAGTTCATGCTTATGATCCCAAAAGGTCAAGATTATGAGGTGGGAGTCTGTTGGGAAGAAACTTAAGGAAATGTAGACGATTCGTCCGAACATCCCAGGCTATGAGAAAGAAATGTAGTCTATGGAAATAGCGATAGAGCAAATGTAGCTCGCAATTTTTCGTCTGTCGGAAAGGTTTTTTATGATGGAAAATAATTCATCATCCACAAGGACGCTACTGAACTCTGTCAAGAAGACAGGGTAGTTCCAGCACAGATATAGAAGTAATACTACATTTTGGGTCTGATCTAGCTCTTGTAAAGATAGATGATAGCAGAGGGAGTCAGATAGTTACTGGAGTGGTAGAATGAACCAAATATTTTCTCAGCATCTTTAGCAATAGATTTTTTACAACCTGACTCGAGTTTTCGGGTTAATGATTTAGTTTTGTAGCGGGCATCGAAAATAACAATAGAGACAAAGAAAAGTTTG